CTCATGTCACTAGTAGACAGGTACACGCACAGGTCTCGAGAATACGGTGCATAGTAGCTTCAATCATATGTTATTCGAATACAATTTAAACACTATAATATGAATATAATGGTTTTTGTTACTTTGATTACTATTATTCATTGTTGTGATACTATACATGGCATCCTCCGCCCCCGAACGTTTCCGTCGTTCCGGTTTGGGAGTGTGACATGTGGTCAACGGATTCTAGAGATGATGAAGTTAGAAGACTAACTCATGGAGAATGTTTGGTGGTGAAATCAGAAGAAAGTGGATTTGTTGGAAGGTTTTTGATGGTGATGAATGTGAATTCTGAAGTCAAGGGTTATGTAACGGATGGAGGAAAAGCTACGGTTAGCTGCCAAGGAGCATGTCATTGAGTGTGAACGTGTTGTGGATAAGGTATATTTCATTCTTAAATCTATTAGTATTCCTACATCTCGTTATGATTCTGAATTAAATGATTTGTGTTATACGATTTTTTACTTTAGCGATAGCTTAAAAAGAACTCGTATAAGTAATTCTAATCTGAATGATAATCTCAGCAGGGTAACCTTTAGAAATGAAGAAAGGAGAATAAAAATAGAGGTATTGGAAGTAGAGTTGAATAAATCGAGAGACAATGTGATTTTACTTAAGAGAGATAGTCGAGTGATATTGAAACAAAGAAACATATTTTGTTTGATTTCTAAACGTCTGTATTTTTACATTTCTCAGCTGCATTTGAATTGTGATGTTGATAATAGTTTGTATAAAATGGTTTTACCTTTCCTTGAGATAAAAGAAGATGAAATTGATGCAGAATGCTATAAATGTGAATCTACTTTTTCAGCAGGAGAAGATGTTTATGACTCGTATAAAGTCGGACTTGAGAAAATTGAAGAGTTCATTAAGTCTAAAGAAAATAAAAACATATTGAAAAATGTATTAACTAAAGAAGTTAAAAAAGAAATCCCAATGAACACTTTGCATAAGTATAACTCATTATGAAAGAAATTAAGCTCAGATAATAATCTCATTTCTGAGAATGTTTCTGAATGTGATGAAAGTGAAATGAGTGAAATTTTTGTTGAAGATCAAACTGATTGTTCTGCTTTTGTGAAAGAAATTGATGAACTAGAGAAAATTTAAATTTTCTAAGATTCAAATGAATTTGTTCAAATTATTGAAAATTCACATTCAAAAGTTTTGAAAACGAAAGAGACTATTTTCCAAAGAATTAAAAAAACCCCTAATCAACTTTTTGTAAAATTAGGATTGGACAAAAATGATACTTCTGAATTAACGTCCATTGTTGCTTCTGGTAATGCAAAAGGTTGTGAAATCTAAAGGAAAATATGTTTCAGAAGATCTGTATCATATAAGCAATGGTTATGATGTGGCAGGACCAAGTGGTACAAAAGATGTATCAAGCGATTCTTCGTTTGAAAATCGTAGTTTGCTTAAAAAAAAAAAGCAAAATCGAAAGCACCTATTCGGAAATATGTTAAGGATATCATTGAAAAATAAATCTAATGAATGCTTGATATAAAAACAACTTAGCCAAAAGAAAACAATTTTGGAAGAAAATATTGAAGTCTAATCAAAGTTCTATTTGTGGTTCTCCAAATCACAATTTTGGAAGAAAATTTGGAAGAAAATTTTGGAAGAAAATATTGAAACCAAAATCATGTGGTTCTCCAAATCACAATTTTCAAAACAAGGTGTTAAAACAAAAGATGTTTACGTCAAAAAGAAAGTTGTTTCCACACCAGAAGTTACACTTAAAGAGTATGAATCAAAGATGAGAAAGGAAGAAAATGATTTTATGGAAAAGATATCTTGGCGTTACAAAAAGCACATTAATAATAAAAGATCAATTTTTTTTGAAATAAATCTTTGTGATAGCAATATGGAGGTTTACAAAATGTAGAAAGGATAAAACAAGACTTTTATCAGGAAAATCCTTTGAGTTTATAAAACAAAAAGTTTATCCAATCAAAATAAAATTCTCACAAGGACCCAAACCGGTTTGGATTCCTAAATCTCATTAATGTTGTAGGTGATGTGTGGCGAACAATATGATTTGGAATGGTACATAGATAGCAGCTGTTCGTTTCACATGACTGGAAGGAAATCAAAACTGAGAGAGTTTTGGTCATTAAAAGAAGGTGGAAAGTGAAGTATGGAAATAACACAACTGGTGAAATAAAGGGTTCACTACTAGAAAAAGAGCCTTTTACGACGTCCAAACAATGACACGCGCAGATATACGATGCGCATTTCTGTGTGTCTAAAAAATAATGTTAGTTTTTTAAAAATTTGAAGGATAGTGGACACGTATTTTTGAGTGCCCTAAAATTAGTGTCCAAAAAAAGAAAATTAAAAACACGGAAGGCACCTAAATTAAATGGGCGTCGTATACAAATGTTGTTTTATAATTTTTAATACGCGCGTCCCTCTTCTTTGATAGAGGTAAGCGGGAAAACCAAATATCTAAATTTTTTGAAGTACCCTCCTACCTACCTCTCTCTCTCTCTCTCTCTCTCTCTCTCTCTCTCCTCTAGGTCACGATTCACCATGTGAACTAAGGCATGCCTAAGATTCTGTCTTCTTATCGCCATCGTCTTCGGCTTTGATCTCTTCCTAAAAAAGCGACGATGAATCTACCACGAGGCGTCACAAAAGCAACCGGAGGCATCGATACTGGTGGAGCAACGAAATAAGGTATTCTAGAAGAAAGAAAGAGAAGGGGAAAGAGAGGTGGAAGATAAAGAAAAGAGATAAAGTGACAAATATAGAAGGAACGGGAGCAGTAGCTAGAGATCAAATCAAGAAGGCAAAAGGACGGGTTCAGATTCAGACACAAATTCATTCTTTGCTTTCAATTTCATATACGCCTCGATGTTCTTATGAATCGCCTGGATTGTGATACGAGCACGCCCTCTCTTATTCCTCCTCTGATTCGATTCGATCTTCTTTTTAAAACCCTAAACGCCGATTCAGAATATCGTTGGTAAAACCCTAGATCCAAAAATAGGCTACCATTAATTCTTCTCCCGATTTTGGCATATCATCTAACCCTTTGATTTGGGTCTTTAGTGTTGGAATAAAAATGCGAGACTTTGTCTTCATATGGGCAATGTTAACGCTTCTCTCAGGTAAATAGTAAAATCACTTGATTTGCCATTGTGACATCGTATTCTTTTTTATTTTGATTTGGCAGTTTTAATTTTGAATGTACAAGTGTTTCTCAGGATGTAAGTGAGGGCTACATCACTTGATTATCCATGTTGGCATCGTATTCTTGTACTTGAAATCTTGAGGGTAAATCTGGAAGGGTTGAATATAGCTAACTATTGCAGTTTTTAGTCTTTTTATATACTAATATTACCTCCCAAAACCTTTCATCTAACTATCAGTTGCTGTATATTTTGTAGGGTTTCTGTGTAAAAGCACATATTCTGAGAATTCTATTTCAGAATTTTCACATGTAAGCTAGTTAACATACTTATGTTGCTAGTTGAAGTTAATTAAGATAACTTATTCATTATGCATCCCTTTTCACACACAAACAGATAGTTTTCCAAGCCGTGGCAATTGATTGATGTTTTTTGAATAATGTATTTTGAATCTGGAAAGGATATATCATAACAGTTATATGATGCTTTTTTTTAGATTTTACCGAAGAAATTTTGTGTTATGCATTTGCCTGAGCATGGTACAACACTTATTCTTGTTGATGAATCTGGAAAGGAGTTTAAGACAAATTATTTGAAAGTAAGACATGGTTTAAGTGCTGGATGGAGGTGGTTTTCTATTGCACAAGGGTTACTTTATAGTGATATTTTGTTTTTTCGTCTTGTTGAACCCTGTAAACTTCAGGTAATCTTTTTGCTTTTGTTTTGTCTAAAAGATTATGTTATTATATACCCTAAATTGTGTCTTTTTGACTTAACGGGGACATAAGATTATGTTATTATATACCCTAAATTGGATGTTGATCCCATTGAAAATTGACTTTACCCCTCCTTTCACTTTATGGTCTGGAATGTTGTGGTCCTTAGTCCTTTGCTGAGAGGGCAAAATTTGTTAGTGAAAAACTCTTGGAGAACCCAATCCTCTTGAATGTATGGGTTTTGAAATTGAATGAAAAGAAGTAGTTGTTTGTTTGTTCTCTTTCTGTGAAATTATCTGTTCATATCTTATTAGTCTTAATAAGGAAAGAAAGAAAAAAAACAAAACAGAAAATGGAAGTAAGATTCTATAATAAACATATAAATGGTATCCGTTAGGTTTTTTGTAACATGATTTAAAATTTTCAGATGGATTGATATGATTGGAGATTTAGAGAAGATGGCTAATCTTCTTTGACCTATTCATATCACATCAACTGGCATTTTAATTTTTTGTAATGATTTCATTTAGATAAAATATTGAGCAAGATGGGTGAAGGTTAGCTGTAAAGTAACCGTTGTCTGCAAAATCTTATATTTTTATCACTCTTCTTTTGTAGGTATCAACAAATTTCTAGTGCTGTAGGCACCTTTGGTTGAGTTTTGGAATGTTGGGATCGTGAAACCCATGGATATGTAGCAACCAAGGTAGTTATTTCAACATTTTTTTAAGACAATACTTACTCTATTTTTATTCTCTTTGCATGGTTTTGTATCTTTTGGCGAGTATTTTAACATATAGATCCTAATGGTAATCCCTTAAGTTACTTTAATTAGTAAGATGTTTTGAGAGATTATAAGTTTTGTTTTCTGATCATTCATTTAATGCGATAGGTCCAATGTATTACAAAGGAGTTTATCATCTATTCTATCAGACCCCTTTCTAAAAGAATGGAAGAAATATTCTGGTTATGGTTCCTAGTTTGTCTACATCAGCATCAACATCATCAAAACGAACCAAGTACTAGTGAAAGAACTCAAAGCCACATGTAAATGCAAAATCTGCTTCCACAAATGCTACTCAAATCATAGAAACAGAAAAATCTTATGATGTTCAACTTGAATTCAAACATAGGATCACTTAGGTGCCTACAAGATGAGACTAGTAATAATGTTAGAGTGGTTGACCTCAAGTAAGGTTCTATGTCATTATTTCGCTTTTTAAATTTGATTTTTTTGAAATAGTTATGATGTTGGCATCATCTTGAACAGGGCTGTTGGATCTTTTATTAAATTCACTCCTGATGCATCTGAAGTGGTAAGTCTATTTGTTCCCTAGAGGGTAATATTGTAATTGTTCTACTTGTTCTAAAGCTACATCCCAATCATATACACACATATTAAATTTTTCAAATTTATCCCAAGCATATTAAATGTTTCAAGACAATGCCTTGCATCTGGTGATGTCAATCAAACAACAAGATATGGGGTTTTATTTTCTCTACTTTAATAATTTTCTGACTTTCAGAAGACATGTATATATATTATTAGTTTCTACCATGTTAATTGATTACATATGAGATTGAAGATTGATACGTTGTTACTTCTTCTTCAGATTATGTGGCTAGGAGACATCTTTAAAGCCAAAGTTGTGGATACAACAAAATACTCATTGACAATAGAGGTGACATATTCATTACATGTGCATTACATATGACTACTGACTCATTATAAACATACAGCCATACAATTAAAGTAAACAACACTTGTTAATAATATTTTAGCCAAGTTTGTAATCACAGAGCTCCTCTGGTTAATCAGGTCACTGGGGATCCTGGGAAGATGGTTACTGTTCAGAGAAACTTAGCCAAATTTGGAATCAAAGAGCTCACAAGAACAGGGACGGTGAGATTTGTCTTAAATGCCTTTTTTCATGCAACACACACACACACACACTAACTGTGTATGTTGCAAATTGTAGATTGCTTTAAGAAGAGAAAAAATTGGGTGAAACTGCTCCATTTTGGAACTATTGTGCTGCTTCGTATCTAGATCTGGAAGCCCCAGCTCCAATTCCTACTGCCTCAAATATAAGTCACACGGTTGATGAGAACTTGAGTGTGGTTTCAGGGGTATATTCTTTAATTCTTTGCAGGTTTCTATTTGTGATAATTACTTATTTTTTTATTAATTTGAGTTGTGATATATTTGTTTGAATGTAGGGAGATGTTTATCCTGTGGAGTACTATAATAAGTTCTCAATGAATCAAGTCCTTGACCCCCATTGGGGTGTGCTTTATGAAGAAGATGTAAGATATGCGTCAATTTCTAATTTTTCATTAATGTCTTATCAATCATTATTTAGCAAATAGTTTATGGGCTATATATAACTGAAATTTAATATTAATAAAACAGTTAACTGGTCATAAGTCTCACACTATGAACATTCTTGTCAATAATGCTCCTGGAGTTCTCAACCTAGTCACCGGAGTTATATCCAGAAAGGGTTACAACATCCAGGTTTGGTTTTTTATCCTTATAGTATAATTTTTTAGGTGAAATGTTTACTTTTTTTTAAATAAAAAAATGTGTTGTGTTAAATTTAGTGGAACAAAGTTTTCTTCTTCAGAGTCCATTAACTTCACTGGTGACATTTATAAAGGTGATGCACACTTTTTTTATTCTTAATTGATTTCTTTTACTATGTTTTGAAACAGTTGTACACTTGTTTTAAAGGTGATGCACACTTCTTTTAATGGTTTCATTATTCTCATTTAGTTAGTTGTTCTCATTTGGTAGGTTTAAAAGTAGAATGTCCCAATAAGAATTAATTTAAAAGTAGAATGAAAATGACAAGTGATTTTGTGTTGTGTTCACAGGGTTGATGAAAGCGAATAGCTCTGGAGTTAGAAGAGGAAAAGAAAGCTCAAGCTGAAAGAGATAAGATGTTGCAAATGCAAGTGTTGCATTCTTCGTTTCAATTGTTAGTATGAAACACATAGTAGATTAGATGAATGCAAATTTATATATTGTAAGAAATAGAATTGTATGACATTAAATTTTATGCAATAGATTGTATTTTTTTATATGGTATTTTATTTCTATTATGAGACAGTAAATGCAAATTTAATTTAAAAATTAATAAATATATAAATATATTTTTTAAACATTTAAATTTACGATACGCAAAAATGTGTGTCATTTTCATTTATGACATGACCTTTCTTGACTGGGGTTTTAATGATGCGCATTAGGTGTCATTAACACGCGCGTCGTAAGCTTAAGACAAGCAAATGCGTGTCGTCTTCCTTTATGATAGGGCCTTCCTTGATACGCATTGCGTGTCGTAAATGCGCGTCGTAATTGCACGTCGTAAATGAGCGTCGTAAATGCGCGTCGTCTATAGACGGCGCGCAAAAGCGCGTCATCTCTCTTTATGACAGGGCCTTCCTTGACGCGCATTTGCGCGTCGTCTGAGCCTTTTACGACGCGCAATGAGCGTCGTAAAAGGCTGTTTTTCTAGTAGTGGTTACAAAATAATAACCAACAGCGAATTCACAATTTGAAAGGTAGCATATGTTGAGGTTTTACAACATAATATGATAAGTGTTTAACAAATGGTTGTAGGTATAAGGCTTAAGGTTTCCATTAATGATGAAGGTTCAGAAATCATTGAGAAGAAAATAAAAGTTGTTCTTCTAGAGTCGAAAAAAAGGAGAAATGTACCCTCTTAACCTCAGTCCAATTCAAGGAAAACCTTCTATTTGTCTACTTATGAAAGCTTCTTCAGACGATAATTGGTTATGACACATAAGGTTTTGTCACCTGAACTTCAAGGATATCAACAAGCTCATGCTTGGTAACCTTGGTTGTGGTCTTACATTCTTGAAATTGGAGAAAGAACACCTATGTGTTGCCTATAAACTTGTGAAACAAACCCGAAAGAGTCATTCATCCATCATGAATACCAAGATCATCGAACCACTCGAGTTAATGTACATTGATCTTTGTTGTCCATCGGAAATTGAAAGCATTAGCGGTAACAAATTTATTTTAGTTATTTTTGATGATTTTTCACTATTTTCTTGGGTATTCTTTCTTAAATAGGAATCAGAAGCTGATCGATTTTATCAAGAAAGTGGAGCTGTAGTTACGAAAGCCTGTTCGGAATATCCGAAACGATAACGGTTCGAAATTCAAAAATCACACATTGGAAGAGTTTTTGATGAACAAAGGGATTTCCCACAAATTCTCTTCACCTTACACTCCTCAGCAGAATGGTGTTGTTGAAAGACGAATATGTTCTCTCTATGAAGCTGCAAGGACAATGCTCTTGTTTGTGAATCAACTTTTTTATTTCTGGGCAGATGCCATAGCTACAACCTATTTCACTTAGAACTGCTCTTCTATAAATAAATGTTTTCTAAATACTCCATGTGAGATCCTGAACAATTGAAAACCTAATGTGCAAATATTCCATTTGTTGAGATCTACATGTTTTATCTTCAACTCCAAAGAACATCGTAAAAAAATTGATGAAAAAGTAGACGAATGTATCTTTCTAGGATATTCTTTGACGTCAAAGGCATACCGTGTTCTGAACAAAAGATCCAGGAAAATTGAAGAAATCTATTATGTCACTTTCGATGACAACTACATAACAAAATATTAAAGAGCAATTGTCAATCGAAAGAGATCTTTCCATCAACAAATTCACCAACTATTCCACGCATGAATCTATATGAAGATTTTCTAAATTTATTTGATGAACCTAAAAAGGCAATCACTTCGGATTCCAAATCCAGAGACAATCAGAAGATAAATTACTGAAGGTAATTGATAATGTTGTTGAAGACATTGAAACTCCGAACGATCTACTAATTTCAGATTCAACTGATCCACCATCTCCTTTCGAACCTCATAATATTGATACATTTGAGTGGGAGAGTTCTACTATGACTGCTGAACCAAGTGTAGTTGTCCAGGGGGATGATCATGAGCCTAAGGATTCCGATGATCAATCAGAATTTGAGGAAGTTGTTACTCAAATAGATCGTATTTACAATCAAAACTTCCCTCCATTAACAAAGTAGACAGAAGATCATTCGAAATCCCAAGTGATCGGAGACACATTCTCAGGGTTTCTAACACACGCGCAGCAAAAAGTGAAACAAAATGCTTTATTTTCTAAATTAGAATTTTTCATGTTTAATTCTTTTGTTTCTAAAATTGAACCTAAAATCGTTAACGTTGCGCTTGATCATGCGTTGGTTTCAAAAAAAATGCAAGAGGAGGTAAATGAGTTTGAAAGGAATAAAGTATGGAGATTGGTTCCCACTGTAGAAAATGATTCAGTTGTTGGTATGAAGTAGGTGTTTAGAAATAAAATAGATCGGGAAGGAAACATCATTCGAAACAAAGCATGTCTAGTAGTGAAAGTCTATTCTCAAGAAGAAGGCATTGACTTCGAAAAGACATTCACTCCGGTGGCAAGCTTGAATCGGTTTGGATCCTTATATCGCATGCACTCACAAAAAATTTGAAGTCTATCAAATGGATGTGAAGTGTACATTTCTGAATGGAGAACTCTAGGAAACTATCTATTTGGAGCAACTACTAGGTTTTGCTAATGATAAAGACACCAATCATTGTTACATTCTGGACAAGGTAGTGTATGGTCTGAAACAAGCACCTTGTGCATGGTATGAAACCCTGATTCATTTTCTTAAGCAATCAAAATTTAAACAAGGTTTAGACCCAACCTTCTTTCGCAAGAAAGATGGTGACATTTAATAATCGTTCAGATTTATGTTGATGACATTAATTTGGGATCAACTAATCCAAGATTAACTGTTGAATTCCAAAACTTAATGGAAAGTAAATTTGAAATGAGTTCAATGGGTCCAATTATCTTTTTCCTTGGTTTAAACATTAGATAGAGTTCGGAATGAATAATTATCAACCAATAAGCCTACACGAAGACCGTTCTTGCAAAATTTGAATTGGTGGGTGATTCAAAGGTCAAGGTTCCTATGGCCTTCGGAATGAAAATTACTCTGCCCTTGGACAAGCCATCAACATATATCACATTATTTCATCAGATGGTCGGATAGTTAATGTATCTAACATCGAGTTGTCCTTATATAATGTTTTTTGTCTGTTATTATGCGAGGTGTTAGACGAATCCTCGTGAACCTCATATGGCAACCGTCAAGAAAATATTCCGATATCTCAAAAGAACAACATCACTCAGAATATGGTATCCATCAAATTCGAGATTCTTAATGCAAGCATATTTAGACGCTGAACTTGGTGGTTGTGGCCTTGCTCGGACGAGTGGATCAGGTGGATGTCAGTTTCTGGATGGTAAGCTTATTAGTTGGCAATCCAATAAAATACTTGTATTTCTTTATCCCAACAGAAGTTGAATATATTGTAGCAGCTTCATGTACATCTCAAGTGGTGTGTATTTAGAATCAATTGTGGGACTACAGAATCGACATGAATATAATTCCCTTATATTGGGATTCCAAAAGTGCCATTAGAATACGACATGATATGGTGCGCCATTCAAAAATGAAGCATATAGCATTGAGATACCACTTCATAAAGGATCATGCCGAAGATGGTAATGTTGAAGTTCACTTTATTCGTTCCTCTTATCAGTTAGCTAACATCTTCACCTAAGCATTACATGAAGCATCATTCAGTCGGATCTTACAAGGGTTGGGGATGAATGAAGTTGAATCGGTTCTGAAATCCTCTTTGCAATAAAGCAGGTTATTGTAGCATTCTGAATGGTTCCGAGCTTTAGAATCTGATAGAATTAACTATTCAGTTTCGAATTATTCCGAGCTTCGGAGTACTTCTGAAGTACTGTTCATTCGAACTTCAGAATCGTGTAGCTTTTAAAAACTAAAAACTATTTTTCTTTACTTTTATTTTTCAAAAAATCCAAATCTCAAACAAATATTGTTTCCGTTTTTGCATTTTCTTTTTACAAATCCAAAAATCTCAAAAATATTTTCTTAATTTTCTTTTATGAATAACCAAAACTAACAAAAATATTTTCCTTTCAAGTTTTACAAGAAAATTCTTTCAAAATCAAAATGACATAAGGAATTGACGGTCGACAACACAACTTCTTTCTAGCATATCTTATCACTTCTTTCACGTAATCCCCTGATTACTCTAACAAAACCAGCTTCGGTATGGAATTATAAAACTTTAGGTTTTGATTGAAAAATCATTATCACAATGATTTTTGTGAAACTCTCAAGCATGCTACTCGCAAGCTATTATTCTCCATCAATTTCGTGTTCACAATCATAACCCTTCAGAATCTCAGGTATTACCGCCGAGTTTAGGTTACAAAACATTTGTGTTTATGATCTTGAAATTGTTATCACCATAATTTTGACTGAAACCCAAAATCCAAATACCATTTCTGAATTAATGGTGAACAATTTATTGTTCTAGATTTTTTCCATTTCTGAATTGATGGTGAAAAATTTATTGTTCTAGAATTTTACTATTTCTAAATTGACGGTGAACAATTTCTTGTTCTAGATATTTACATAATGAATTGACGAATACACTCTTTTTGATTTGTACCATGAATGTTCGAAATCATATTTTTTTTTCCTTTGTGTGATCATAATGAAGTGTTCTAATCCCAATTCATTTCTTCCCAATAGATCCAGGTTTGTAAAAATTTTTAAAATGAGATTTCTCGTTGAACATTTCTGAACTATCTAGTTACTTCAAAACATTTCGAAAACTTACTTGTTATTATGACTACACCGGTCAAACAAGTACTTCATTTAGATTTTGGACTTATGTTAAGTTTCATAATCTCTTTAAAGGTAAAGCCACCTTTAAATCCTACTAAAAGAAGCCTTTCACAATTTCTTAATAAACTAGTGATCGTAATTCAACAAGAATCCACACAAGCACTTTAGAATCTCTCTTGACTCAGAAGGAAGAGATTGTTGCCTGAGATCCACCAAGTTTTCATATCAACATTGTTTGATATCACAGAATCGCACATATTAAATTTCCTTTATTTCTTTTTCTTTGTCTCACTCTTGCATAAAATCCTTGTGATATTACAAAATCATGTTACTGTTTGGATTGATTATTACTAATTACGAAAGTGGAGATTCTGAAATGACTTGTCTTCAGAATTGAAGGATCAATGAAGACGCATGGATTTTGAATTTCCTAACACACGCATGTTTGTTAAAACGGCCGCTGACACAAGATGATGAGTTGGTACACTTTTACAAGCTAACTTTTCGGCTAATGGGGAACGTGAAATGAAAATTTCTCTTTGTACTCATTGTCACAAATAAAAGCAATCTAATCCAAACATGATCATTGATTTGGATGCTTCTCGTTACAATTCCATGGTTTTCCCCATGATCGATTGTTTGAAGTTTTCCCCTCTCATGAAATCCTTAACAATGGTAGATGAAGTTCCTTTGGTGCATCTGTGAAGGGAATACTCCTCAACCATCTACAATATTCAGGACGGGGTCATTAGCTTCAAGGTAGCCAACCACAAGACCTTAGTCAACAAGCCCAATTTCTAAAAACTACTAGGGCTTTCATCTTCTAATGCGAGTGTTGACACATAATCGATCCCTGGTACTGGCTTGATCGAGATGTTTTACCAAATGGGATATACCAGCTACATCTTCCTTCTCTCGAAGTTCAGGAAATCCTTCTTGCCACCAAAGTGGAATGGACTCTTCCCTATTATGTTCAAAAGCCTTTCAGAATGGGTTTCAGGTTCTGACAGTGCTACCAAGATGTTCTATACTCTTTGCTTTGGGCTTTTCAATGGAGTTAATTTGGATTTCGGTTCAATAATCTGGACTCAGTTCGTACAGAGCACCAGCTCGACCACTCGACACACGGAAATTTTGTGTGCTTTTTTCTGGTTGATTATGGTCAAAAAGGTGTTGTTGCACTATCATGGTCTGACAATGATGGACCTGCTGATGGCAGACATCCCCAAGCTACAAAGCACAACGTTCATCATTATTGATCCACGAAATTTCAATTTTGTTGGTTCCATCCCGGAAGTGATGTTAGCAAAAGTTTCGATGGAAAATGACCTCATTAGGGAGTATTGTTCCTTGACCTCATTTGGAATCTTCCCAATCCCTATAGAACTACAAGTTATCGATACAGGGGATAAACCGAAAATAGGAGGAAAGAGTAAGAAAAAAGCTTCATCTTCGGAAATTGTGAGGGTTTCAAAGAAAACCTAAAAACCAACACTGAAACCTTGATCTCCCAGTTCAATTCTCCAAGAAGATTCAGATGAGAGGACCTTATCAAAAGTACAACAATCTACCACCCAACATGACAAGGAAGAGGATACAACCTACACATCATAACCCCCAACTTCAGAACCTATTCTGAAGGTATCATTTCCACCTTCCTCATTTCCTCCAACTTCATATATATTTTACTCCATTATCTAAGAACCGTTTCTAAACCTCACCCTTCCACCACCACCACCCTTATTTAACCTTACATCTTTCAAAACCACAACCTCACCCATCCCAACAACAATTCAGATCTCATCCATTCCACCCTTACCTACAACTACACCAATTACAACCTATATTCAAACCTCACTACCCATAATTTCAGTTCCCCTTTCTTCTCTAATCTTTACCGAATCCATGATACCCACCACATCAACAGTCTCAAATCCACCAGAAGTCCCTATATTCAAATCCATTTCGGAAGAGATGCAAACATCAAGCATTCCTGTTAACGAATCTTATGCGGGGGGAAATGTCAATATCGGTGTGACTTCCGAACAAGGCACCTGAATTGGTACTCCATTCAATGAGGATGACGAAATCTTATTCGGAGAGGATCAAGAAACATTTACTGATTTTGTATTCTTCCCATTCACTATCAATATCAATAGGGATGAAGATGAAGCTCCAATGACGAAGGTTCAGTTCAAGAAATTGAATAGGAAGCTTGACTCGATCCTAGAGCATTCAAATGCATTATCTTTGACAAAGTGGGAGAATCTACTCACCACTCATAGGGCCACTGTTGAGATGCTTACCTCTACGAATGTGAAACTCATTGAAGAATCATCCATGGCCATCCATGATTCTAAAAAGATGATTACTGAAGTGACCAAAAAAGTCAGAAAACTACATCAAGAAGTGCAAACATTCATAAATGATTTCCGAAAATCTTTGGATAAAAACACAGCTAACATGAACAAGGTGATAGAAGGATTTCTTTTATCCTTGAAAGCAGTGAAGGATTCTCTATCAAAGATAGCTGAGGCCAAGAATGTAAAACTAGTCCTTGAAACTCAAAAATCTTTGTTTGTAGCTTGGTCTCATGAGCGTATTCAGAAAGAAGCAATAGATGATTCGAATATCTAATGGTTGGAGCCAACAATCTCTTTTAACTTAACCAATGATGTGGAATGTCAATTTGATTTCCCATCACTCCAAGGGCACTTCTCTTTCGTTGCTTCAAAAAGATTGAGAAATCCATGATCTCCGATAGTGTATTAAATCAAAAGCTCTTTTCATTTTACTTGAAATATGTGAAATCGTAGTATGAGACATGGAGATTAAAGAGAATCATAGAATTGAAGGTTGGATTGTTGATTCAGACTGAAGACTTCTTAAATATCCAATTTAAAGGATTTTGAGGTGCCAATCGCAAGCTTCATGAGTTCACATTGGTTAACTTTCCCTTTATGAACCCCTACAATTGGTTATCTCTATACCACATTGTGGAAAATGATGTTCAGAAATATGACCCTATCATTGAACAATTAAAGTGAATGATCAAGTGTTATATTCTTGAATTTGTGAAGATGGACGTTGAGATCGCATCTGTATTGAAGAAGAGGCCAATTCTAAAGCCATAAGAACAACCAAAAGACATCCAACACTTGAAGATGGGTATTATTCATAAGGAGCAATAGACCATAGTTTACAAGAGAAAGGAAAGTGAAGTGGTTCAGAACTGCATGTTCTTTTTAAGGGAAAAACACTTATAATCATCATTGGCTCTCAAAACTATCTTGTTCTCTACTGAAGATCACAAAGCCAATTCTACTGCTGATGTAAAATGTGTTTCAGATATGATACATTGGTATCTTTTAGTTTGCAGCTCACTTTTGAAGATAAATCTTTTTTGCGCAAAGATAACCGTGAAGACCTCCTACCAATTTGACACAAGGGAGGGGGAGGGGTGGGGGGATTGGTAAGTCTATATTTGTTGTGTCAAATGGTTGTGTTTGGAATTTTTATGTACACATTCCGATTCCAAAATAGACCCGTCCATCTTCAGAATCTTAGCTTAGTCAGTCTATAAACAGTGCATTGTTTCTTTCCTTTCGTATTGATCTTTTTGTAACCGTCTAGCACTCATAGAATAGTTCCAAATTGTAAACTGTTCTTTGTGCTTTGTTATTGAAGATTGAGCTTGTTTCACTTCATATCGTTCTTATTAAATGAACCATTTTAGCATTTCATATTGAACATAGAATCTATTGGTCTTATCAGAAACATGTAAATGATTCGAGCGAAGTGGCTTGCATCATGCTTGCAACTATGACACCTGAGTTTCAGAAATTATGGAGAAACTTAGAATCATGTTTCATGTTCAGGCTAAGCAAGAGAGGTTTGAGGCCTTGAATGCTTTCATTTGTTACAAGATGGCTGAGGGATCTTCTCTGAGTGCACATGTACTTAAATTGAAATCTTATGTTGAGCATCTTGTCGCCATAGATTTCTATTTAGGGATGAGATAGCAACTGGTGTGACTCTAGCCTCGTTGCCTAAGTCATTCAACCAATTTTTGTAAGGTCCTGAAAACATATCTTAGCTAATGATCAAGCAATCAATCAATTAATGTAACAAGAATTGGAGAAGAAGAAGAATTAAATCAAGCTTGCACATGTTTATATATTAAAACGTCTGGTACAACTCGAATACACCTGGCCATGAAAACTTAGACTAACAACCTGAAAAATGACCTAGAAATGCCCTATATATAGGGAACACTGACCGCAAACTAGGTTTACTACCGTAAACACCAATCTAGGCCGTAAACAACCAAACAGCCCCAAAATACATAAATTTGACTCAATGGACCCTATACAATAGAAATCCTATACCAAACTACAGATTGGACCCTTCAATCTTCCCATTGGTTTGGGGCTAGATTGACTTATTCCTTATCGGCAAGAAGAACATCTGAATCGCCAATCGCCCCATTCCACACTCTTTTGTTAATGATGTTGGCAACCATAGATGAATACTCGTTAGCAGCTGGCTAAAAAATGTCTTCTGCAACTTTGATTTGATTTAGGTTTCCACTGATGAATATCCCTTTTACCAAACTAAAACAGATCTCTTTTGTCATATAAACGAATACATCCATCTTGATGCTCTATGACAGTGGAGGATGTAGTTTCACAAAAACCCAGTAAAGCATGGATGACAAAGATCCATATGGATAATTCTGAAGTATAGATATCTATTTTACTTGACTTGTAGCAGGCCACATCACATTCCGAAGAGGAAGATTAGTTTTGGGATCAATAACACTTGGGTATAGTTTGATGATAGACTCTGCGATCTTCATTGAAGGAAATCCTTTAGTCACTTGATCTTCCAAAAAGTGCTTGAATTGTGTTGCCTTGGGATTTTGAGAGGGATTTGCAAAAGGAGCTTTTGACAGTTCTGAAAGATCAACCCTGGTCCAGGAATTAAAATCATGAATATCTTTGTAGAGTTCTGTGTTGCCACTTTTGCATCTCACGAGCCACAAGTTTAGAGTATCATGAAAGCCCCATGAAACAATTCCAGACCTATCACCATAGATGTCTCTAAAACATTTTTCTTAAAGATATGTGACAATGATTTTGGGTTGATCCCCAGGAGAATTTTGATCCGAGCTCCTTTTAAACAAGAGTTGACCTTTTGTTAGTTGCTTTGGCTAATATGGCATGCTTCAGAGCTATGAAATTCGGAGCTTGAACTGGTTCCACATCAAAATGATCCACAAGTCGTGATGTTTGTACAGGTGGTGGCACAACCGGGGGAGCTTGAGAAGGAAGATACATCCTTGACTCGTCAATAGAGGACTTAAACTTGTCACAAAGTTCCTCTTCCAACTTCCTTTTTAGATAAAAATAGCTAGCTATGAGGAGACCAAAGTAGGTCTGAAGATTAGAGATCTTTTTAGTCTTTAAAGTCTTATCCTCTTCAAGATCGGAAACTTGAATCTTGAGCTTGGTATTTTCACTCATAAGATCAGCCACCTGAATGTCAAGCTCAATGTTCTTTTAATTAAGCACATTTATTTCCTTTTGAAGCCCAACAATAGAAGGATTGTCTTCTCCTGTGTGTCTTTCTCTGATAGAATTTCCTTTAACTCTGGGAAAAGGCACTGAGCTCTATTCCTTAGCTAGAAATTGAGCAAACCTCACAGAGGCAGCATCATGATCAGCTTGAGGAGGAGAAAAAGCTGTTGGTATAGAAGAACCACCAACATCAAATGTTGTTCTTGGTCCTTCAAGAGTTGGTCTAGATGGGTCAATGATAAGAACAGGTGTTGGATGACTGGGGAGACTTTATGATGCTTCAGATATCAACACACCAAGTCTTGGGTAAAGTCTTCTTCTTTTAGGAGGAGGTGAGGAGGTCATAGTTGTTATGGGATCACTTATAGGAGGCTCTAAGGTAGGAAGAACATTAAAAAGGGGAGGAATCCCTGAAATTGTCTCATTAAGAGTTGAATCATCAACCATCTACTTGGATGTAGGAAGCACGTTCTCGAGAACATCTTCAGTTTCACGTATCTTCGTTGTTGGATGAACAACGTCATTGGTACTGTCAAAGAACAAGTCAAGGTTTTCATTTAATAAAAGGTTCTCATTGCTTCCAAAATTCAGTGGAATTTCATCCCTGTCATAACCAGTAAGATCAAGATCTTCAAAAGAGTCTTCAACATTCGCAGATGCAGTCTTCTTTGTTCCTTCGTTGTAGTTACTTTGAACATGAACAGATGTCAAATCATGTTCTTCTGCCACAAAAACCTTGGGAGTAGCTTCCTTCTCATGATCTGATACCGTTATAACATCATCGTATGAATATACTTGCTTAGAAGAAATATGCTCAGAAGATACTTTATCAGAAGACCCGTGAGATTCGGATGCTTCAGTGAGTTCAGCAAACTTTCCAAATTTCACCAAGGGAAACCTTCCTTGAAATACAACTTTACCCTTGCGAGTCTGTTTAATCAGCCCAACAGTGTGTGGGCCAAGGGATTTCATATATAGGGTCTCTCCTTCTTTAGCCATCTTTGGGAATTGCAAGTCGATAAACACCTGAATAAACCGAGGATACATCAATAAAATATCTCTAGTCTTCGTGTTGATGTTCACAATGAATTTGTCTAGAATAAACCTTGAAAAAGTTGAATTTTATCCCTTCAAAAAGCGCGACGATAGCTCCTGTATTTCTTAAAGACGTTTCATTTGCACCAGTCCGTCTACCAGATATACGGGTCACAAAGGTGTGATCCAGAAATCTCCAGTAAGGTGGTAGGAGTTTCTTTATGGTGGGAGGAAAAACACCTTCATATCCCATTTTTTTTAGAACTCCTTGAACTTCATCAACAACAATCCCAACAGGGTGGGCTGATTAATCATCAATTTGTAATGCATATCTAATGATTTGCTCAATGATAATAATTTTGCATCCTTTCACCTCAGCCTCAATGGACACAGATCTATCATCTCCTCATTTCATCTGGGCAGACATCCAAAATTCCTTAATAGTTCCTTGATACACAACAGGACTCACAGTGAGAGCATTGGATAGACAGCAATCCTTTAGCCCATGAATCATCGATTTGAACTCTCCATGAACGGCAAGAGGTTCCACCAGCAGGATTGCAAGATTATGACTGTCTGCGAACTTGAGACTTGCCATTAAAACTGCACACAACGGCCAAGTGAAAAACAAAGTAATTAAACGATATAAAATTTATGGATTTCTCAATAAAACAATTTAATGTTTGGCCTTAAAATACAAGTCAACAGGAAATTGACCAAAATGATTTTCTTAACAAAATTAGCATATACAGCCCTAAACAGCCTGGTCGTACACGGTGTGGCCGTAAACAGCCTGGTTGTACACGACTTGGCCGTATACAACCTTAATCCATTTGTTGGTACCTTTACCTTCATGTCTATATCTGGTTGATCGCTGGTATTGTGGTCTACTTAAACATAAAGGACCATTCAGCTGTCGACAACCAAGGATATTGTTGTCCATCTAAATCAAGCAGTGAGATCTACAGATAACCTCTAAGTGGTTTGATTTTAGTTGCACTAGAATATGTTCCCCAGTTCCTG